CATTAAAATGTAGTATTACATTATATTTTCAAACCATGCAGCTTTCACTTGTAAAAAATATCTAAAAATGTAGATTAATTAAAGTTTTTATTTCATTTTGTAGTATACCTTTCCGCAATTGTTTATTATAAGTTACGATCTATAAAGCTTAGACAGAGCTGTTCAAATATCAAATATCAATCATTAAAATGGGGACGTTAATTAATAGCCCATACAGCTAATGCAGATAGTCGTAGTACTCATTAGTGTGGACGTTAATCCACACCAGGGAGTATCGCATCCACAGTGCATGCATATAAATATCCACAATTTGTGACCTCCTAGTATCTGGATTATACCACCATCCCAGTATTGGCAACACTGCACTGTCAGTATAGTGCTGTTACAGCTGTTTTGATTGGTTGCAGCTAAGGCATGCATATTGGTGTTTTTATAAGAATAGTGAAAGCATGGTTACTTGGCCATGCAAATATTATTATAACTCCATTTTAAATGTACAGAAATAAATTTTTAATTTATATTGTTTTTGTATAGAACACTATATGTTTTATTTTCAATCTATTAATAAATTTGTTAAACTTTATTATTTAATTTTGTAATGAATTTCAAGAAATTTAAATTAATTAAAATTAGATTATTTAGCAAAAAAACTAACAAAATAATTGCATTAGCCAAGTGAGAAAAAAGTACCGGTACAACTCATCTTAGGCTAGACTTACTATTTACATAATATTATACGTGAACGCGATTAAATAAGCAGATGTCACCTGTTTGCCATGTTAACTTATGGGACGCCTTACTCCTAAACAACATCACTTGCGATGTTGCCGATTCTACCAGGCCGCGGCCTACCTGCCCTATCTCATCAGTTAATTAAAATGAATTCGTTATTCAATAGAATGTTTGACTATCAATACCAATATAGTTTATGAAAGAATGATTTGAGTGTGAGGTCTCCTATTTTATATTTGCATAATGGAATATAAATTTCGACTACGCAGTTGCATGTTCTGACTAAAGCTACCCTTCCCAAAAATATTCCGACCCATCTAGAGAGTGAAACGCTGAACCCGGGAACAATTTGGAACGTGGTGGAATTGATTCAATAAGGTTCGGTGAACCTTAGTCTTGCCGGAGAAATAAATCCTACTTTTTTGGAACTTTATATGAACATGTTCCTATATGGTCTGTAACAGACTACTGCTTTCTCATTCTAGTAAAAAGGAACTCAATAAATGTAACAGTTACAACAAGAAGCATTGCTTTTTCTTTAGTCTGCCCTGCCTTTTGCCCTTTAATTGTCTTGTTAACTATTGTTCGTTTATTATGATGTCGTTTTTGCCCTGTCGTCATTCCTGTTTATAATTATCTCCCTCTTCATAATTATTAATTCATTGTCTCACTAGCATAGTTTGAGATCCGAGATGCCTGAGGAAACTGTCCTAGTTGGGTATGCAGATGACGTTGCGGCTTTAATAGCTGCACGTAGCATTGAGCTTGCCCAGCTGAAACTAAATCGAGTCATGCGCACCATTAACGCATAGATGGCAGAACATGCCTCTCGCTCGCTCTGAGCAAAACTGAGATTGTGATTCTGACTAAAAAGAGGATTGACACCATCGTGCCTTTGATGGTGGGTAATGTTGAAGTCCAAACCACTCGCGCCGCAAAGTACCTTGGGGTCATGGTGGACAGCAAGCTCAGCTGGCGAGACCAGATCACCCGTACGGCGGACAAGGCCACTAAAATGGTTTCTTCCCTTAGTCGGTTAATGGCCAATGTCGGAGGTCCGCGGTCCAGCCGCAGAAGGCTGTTGATGTCTGCGGTCCAGTCCGTGCTCCTGTACGGTGCGGAGGTCTGGGCAGACGCTCTCAATAAGGAGATATATAGGATGCGGATCACCCGAGTGCAGCGTCAGGCAGCACTAAGGGTAGCATCTGCCTATCGAACAGTGTCCAAACCCGCCGTCCTGGTGGTTGCTGGAGTTATCCCCGTAAAAGTTTTGGCGGCGGAGAGGAAGGCAATTTATCAGCGCCGTGGGGAGGACCAGGCAAGAATTGAGGAACGCACCCGGACCTTCTAGCTGTGGCAGGGGAGCTGGGAACAGGAGACAAGGGGGCTCTGGACCAGGCGACTGATACAACAGGTCCAACCTTGGGTTAATCGGCGGTGCGGAGAGGTGAACTTCTACCTCACCCAATTTCTGACGGGTCATGGCTTATACTGCCCAGGCATTCCCGATGACGTAGAACGTAGAACACACTTTTTTCTACTGCCAGCATTGGGAAAGGCCCCGCCTAGAGGCTCAACAGTTCGTAGGACTGCTGTCGGTGGACACGGTCATACCGATGATGATGGAGGGTGAGGACAATTGGACCTGTGTTTCACTTTACATCCAGGGTGTTCTCCGCGCCAAGAAGCTTGACCTCGACCGGGATGTGGTGTAGGTCAAAAAAATAAATAATGCCAGAATCGGTGCGAGCCCTGTGGGCTTAGGTCACATATTGGCCTGATTTGAAGTAATGTGACAAACAATTCCAGGTCTGTGTCCAACAGAGTAGAGGGGGTTTTTTTAGTGAGTAGTCTGTGATCTCAGGAGTCTCACACTACAGGCTGGCTACCTGTATGCGTAAAAGCATTTTCCCTCCTCGCCAAAAAAAAAAAAAAAAAAAAAAAAAAAAAATAGTTTGAGATAGCCTATACGATTCAACTCTTTTATATGGTTGTCTTTGATTAGATTACTCTGCTAGAGCTTGGTTAAATAAAAAGTACCAACCCGGGGGGCCGGGCCGCGGTGGGGCACACGGGAGGGACTAAGGCTAACATATCTTGTAGTGACAGCGTTCACCGCTAGGACTGCTAAGTTGAAAAAATTTAAATTATTTTTTATTTAGTTATAAAATTAACTTTTTAATTATAAAATATTGTTTTAAAATTTTAAAATTAAATTTTAATTTTTTAAATTAAACTGTCATAACATAACCTAACCAACCAGACTTGCTGATAATATAAAAACTATATAAGATAAAAATCTAATTAATGATTACTTATAATTTTTTAATTAATCTAAAATTAATTTTAAAATTTAGTATTATAAAATTAAACTGTCATAACCTAACCTAACCAACCAAACTTGCTGATATGAAAAATTTGTTGTCAAATAGTTAGTGCTGCTGGCGGGAATCGAACCCCGGACCTCCTGAACACCAATCCGAAACGCTACCAACTATGCCACGAACGCTGCTGAAATCACATCGTTTCGTTACGGTAATCGTGTCGCCTCAAGAGAAGACATTAACCACTAGAGATATGACGTCACTACACCTTTAGCCTTAGTCCCTCCCGTGTGCCCATTCCGGCCGGGCCGAGCCTTGCTAGGTTGGATTTAACGTGGTTTGACAGTTAAAATAATATCATGATCAGACACATTTGATCATTTACAAAAATATTTTTATTACAAACCAAAAACATACAATCGCTGAAATAGTATCAACTGTGTGATGTGTTTAATTACACCCGTTTCAGATCATAGCATTTAGATTATTTGCAGTACCGTGACTTGAGTAATAACATATCGATTTAATATTAACCACTGATGACATAAGTCCACTTATACGGGGTGTCCCACGAAGGGGTTTAAACGTTTGATTTTATATTACGTGGCCATTCATGCATCGAACTTTTTAAAACTTTACACAGTTTAAGAAGTAGGATATAAAAATATTCTGGAAAAATTTCAACTCCCTAACCTTAGTAGAAACAAAATGGCGGCATATTGAAAAACGATGCTTTAAAAACATTAAAAAAGGTATTTTTGGTTTTATGAAAAATTTGTATTGTTACTTTCCAGGGCAATATGACTTAAATAAAAAAAAAAAAACTAGAACATAGCCTAATGGAAAACCTTAATGTCCAAAATTATTCAAACTGTGACCCATCCACAGCAACACACTGGTAACAGCGCGTAACAAATTATTCGTAAGCTCTTACAAAGAAACCCTCCGGTATCCAGAGAAGTTCCTCTTCTATTGATAGTTTTAGTTCTCATCATTATTGAAGCTTTGGGGATAAACATGTTCCTTCAAGAAACCCCATAAAAAGATGTCGCAAACAGTTAAATCAGGTGATCGGGGTGGCCAATCTAAAAAATCATTTCCACGACCAATCCAACGGCCATGAAGGTTGCCATTTAGTAATTGCTTGACAGGATTTGCGAAATGAGGTGGTGCACCATCTTGAAAGATTGCTTGATTAATTTCTGGTACCGTCAAATGTGGCAAGACCTGTTCATTTAAAACTCATTTTACAATCAAACAGCTGTTCTTCAACAATGAGCGTTAGAACCGCAACGTAGTAAACAAATCAGATAATAAATCATGAAAGTAGTTTTCATAGAAAGCAAATTGGTAAATTTGTCAATATGCCGCCATTTTGTTTCTACTAAAGTTAGGGAGTGGAAATTTTTCCAGAATATTTTTATAACCTACTTTGTAAACTGTGTAAAGTTTAAAAAAGTTCGGTGCATGAATGGGCTCGTAATATAAAATCAAACGTTTAAACCCCTTCGTGGGACACCCTATATACCGTTCGTCAACTTCTATATCTATAAATGGCGTGATAAGTTCTGTTCGATTTAGTAGAAAATAGTTTTATTACAAACTAAACATTTTAAGTTTTTTTTTTACACATCGAATAACAAGAACAAGCAAAAATTGTATATTCGTAAAAGGAAGGCAGGCAGTCACGAATGGCGAAGGGAAGGACGAGGGACTATTTATCAGGAACGGTTCCGTCCAATCTGTTCCACAGAGTGACACCTAACGCAAATGTAACAGTTGCAATAAAAAAAAAATTAGGATTTATTACTGCGGCGAGATGGTCGTTTCGTTTGTGGTTGGTCGTTGCGTTGCCTCGTTGGTTGGATTAGATTGGATTGGACATTGGACAATGTTGTGCTGCTGTGGTGAAATTTAAAAACAACGAAACGGCGTGACAGTTTTGAGGTTATGTTATATAAATAAATTTAAGTTTTTGGGTATTTGTTATAAAAGGATCCTTGAAGAATGTTAAGAATTAATCGAATATAGTAAATAGCCTTGTATGGAATAATATGCCTTTTTGGTGATAATAGTATTTTATTATACTGCTGTACAGGTAATTATAGGATTAATTGGTGTTTTTATTCTTGAGATTGATGATTGTTTAGTTTAAGCACTAAGCACTATGCCTGATCAAGAAACGATATTTGCCTTTGAACATGGATTCCTGCAGCCAACTTAGCAAAACTATGGTGTCCCAAAGCTCCCCTGTCCCAAACATCCCCACTCTCCCCTAGTCTGTGCTTGGATGGAAGGAACTAATACTACCTATAGATATGAATTTATGGAGTACCTATGTCAATAACATGGAAACAACTTGACCAATACTGATTTTTTCCACAATTAGAGCCAATATAACCACAGGATTAGTGGAGACAATAGACAATTAATCTTTATTTACACATTCATTAAGAATAGTGGTAGTCAGGGCCGGTTCTAGGAATTTTTCAGAGTTAAGCGAACACCCGAATCAGCGCCACATAGGATTCGTGAGACATTTTTAGCGCGACCTTCGGGAAAAATCATCGGCATTTTTTGAGCGTTACTTTTATTTCTCGCCTGGCACTCTAAGGGTTAATTTTTTCCCAATAATTTTGGGAAGAACTTTTTTATAAGTTTAGGTTAGAAGAATACTTGCAATAAAAGACTGTTTATTATTCACAGAAATTTAACATTTTTACACTTTTACTCATCATAGGCCTATAAACTTTGGCAAAACCAAGGCCACACTAAAAAAAACAGGCCGTAATCCGTAATGCTCGTCAAGCATGACGTCACGATAGAAGACGGCAATGACGTAATGTTTACCGTTTGTGATCAGCTGCTTGTTTTAATCTTTCCTTGCAAAATAAATAAATAAATACCTACGTCATTGCCGTCTTCTATCGTGACTTCTTTGGGCTGACTGGACTCGCCACCAGATGATTTAAACAAAAATCTACTCATTGATTTGGCTTGTTTTTTATCAGCCTCTTCCAAATTCGCCTTACCCTTTTTATAATAAGTGCCAGACGTTTTCTTTTTTTCTACCATTGTTTTCTTAGTATCGGCTCGCTAGATGTTTTACTCATTATTCAGTTTATACTTTCTTCTTATTTAATGCGCTAATTATAAATTAAACTTAAAACACTCGTAATCATTCACTTATCAACTATCATGAATCATCAAAACAACGCCATTACGATACCGATACACGCTAATACGCTAATACACTAAAGAGAGCAATACAACGTAGTGCTCTGCTCTAGGATAAGAATCAGAAGGGAGGGGGAAGTTTCTTGTTGTGACAATTGGCGCTGCACGCTTGCTTATCTCATCTCGAGCATCGCGCCGTACGCTGCCGAGCGTCAGCTCAATACAAAATCGAAACTGCAAATGGCATTGAGTCCTTGAGTTGTAGTGCTGTGTACAATTATACACATTTTTCAAGTGCTGTTGGTACAAACAGAATAAATGCCTTTATTGTGGTATACTTGAACTCTGAGCGAAAATAAACAAAATTACGTTGTTCACGTAAAAAAAAATTGTTCCGTTGGCGCCACGGCGCCAATTTTTGTGGCGCCATATGCGGCCGCATAGTTCGCGTATGGGTTAAACCGGCCCTGGTGGTAGTGTCAACAGAGTCATCTTTAATAGAGATAGTCATCTTTAGTTTTAATACTCTCCTAGGGCTTTGCCCTGATAGCTTATTAGGTCCAATTGTTTTTCGAAGTAACCATCAAAAGTCACTCGAATTGCCACCCAACTCGGTACAGGGTGTCTACCAACCGGGAAATCCGGGAAAACCGGGAATTGTACTTAATTTTTTACTGGCCATGAAATGTACGGGAATTGTCCTTAAATGCCAGACTATGTCCTTAAATTTTTAATGGGCCATAATTTTATCGATTGCTAGTTGGTTAGGAGCACATAAAAGGTTTATCAGATGTTTGTTTACATTTTCATAATTTATTACTAGAGTAATTATGCAATAAAAACCCCATTAGCAGTCTCAAACCCATTAATATTTTATCACGACAATCAAGTACTTCCAAGAACTGTTTACTCAGTAGTAGCTTAGCTCATAAAAGTTGTATCACTTTTATTTCTTTACAACTTCTTTATTTATTACTAGAGTAATCATTATTAGATCCCAAACATATTTTATCATGGAAATAATGGTTTTATGATAGCTGTTAAATTTCACTTCTTACTTGTACTTTCCTTGAACATTCAATTTGCCGCTGGCCAGTGCCTAGTGTCATAAAACTGTTTATGGTTTCATATAAAACATGTAACTAATCTACAGTCTTATTTTGTAAGTTAAACCCCTTTGTTATGGATATTTTATCTTTCAATTGACAAAACCACAAGCATTGTTGTTTGCATTAATTTTTTATCACTACATAGGCCTACTTGGTTTCAAATTATGTCATTGCATTTTCTGTATCTTTGTACATTGTTGGCGTTCAGGATTCAATTTTTTTTATTTCCCATATTTATTTATTGCGTTGTATGCTTTAAGCAATCTAAATCTTATGAACTAGAATGATGATATTGTTGTGACTTTGCTGATATTATAACCTCATTGTTTGTTACTCAGTTTATATAGGCCCTCCTAAATAATTAGGCCTATGCCTGGGTATTTTGATTCTTTGAAAGAGCTGTAAAATATACTAAGAAAATGTAATTGAGCCTAAGATAAACTAATGATTGCTATGTGTCGATATTAACTTTGCTGATGAAAAGACAATAATCTTACTCTTTGCTTACCATACCGATTTTGTACCTAGAACCGAGTTACCTACAATATATTCATTATGCATTACAGATTTTTTTTTCAAAAATAGTCGAGAACCTAACGTTGTGCCAGGGCGAATAATGCCAAATTAATCCGCCTGGATCGGATAAGCTATGTTATGATGTTTCCGTGACCGATGGAGATATTTAGGATTTTGTCGCTATTGCAGGAGACAATGATTGCGTTTTTCTGTTACACTATAAAAGCTGTACCTAAAGTATATGTTTGTTTACTTTCAATAAGTTTCTATTTTGAAATTTAATTTTTGTCTATTATTATTTACTTTTTTCTCTGGAACAACTACAATGAAGAACAAGATTAATACAGTTTGACAAATCAGGAATATTATTCTGTTATCACACCGACAAAAGTCCTTAAATGTACGGGAATTGTCCATGAATATTTTATCCAGAATGTAGTAGACACCCTGTCGGTACGTCAATCAATAGTTTTGTATTAATACATATGAAGTCAAAAAGGGACGAAGTAGTCCAGGATCTGAGGGGGTTTGAGCATGCATGAAAGTAGTACGCAATGTTATTGCTGATTATTGTTATATGGACTGTGGTGATCAAAATAACGTATGTCGCCTATTTCAAAAGTGGTCGATAAGGTGGGGGGGGAGGGGGCAAACATGGCGGTTTGCACTATTCGTTAAAACGCTGATATTTCGAAAACGGTAAAAGATAGAACATCGGTTAAAACGTCGTTGTAATTCTAAAAATGTGGACTACCATAATGGTTATTGAGTCCGAGGTCGTATCTCTATAAATAAACAAGTTATTGTATAAAATATGTAAAAATGGACTTTTCGTGTAGTTTTTTTTACCGAAATTAGAATTAATTTGTAAGTGTCGCAAAGAAGTAATATCAAATATATTTGCTTATAGTTGTAAAATGGACTGTGGTGATAAAAAATACGCATGTCGCCTACTTTTTAGGTGGTCGAGAACTTGCGGGGAGGGGGGCAAAGATGGCGGAACGCTTTATGCATTGAAACGACTGTAGCTCGATAATGGTACGAGATAGGACATCGGTTAAAACGTAGTTTTAATCCTAAAAATATGGCCAATAAAAAAGGTTATTGGGTAAAAAGTTGTATCTTAACTAATAAAAAAGTTATAACAATAATAAGTTAACTAAAATCTACATTATAGGCCTACAGCTATTTTCTTCAAAAATCATATGGATTGTTGATAGAAAATTGTGTAATTACTTAATTTCTCGGCTAAATATTAACTAGATGCATTTTCTTATAAGAAAAAAATTTATTATTACGAATACATATGGTTTAAAATGTAAAACACAGCCTCCAAACGCCTTGGGGTTCGTCCGTAGACTTAAGAAATGAAATTCATGGGTTGCGTCATAATTGCTGCGCAGTGCTGCTGATATCGGCACAACTGTTAATCCCCCCAAAGTTCATTGCCTTTGGGGCAGTTTAAGACTACTGACATTTATTGTGTTTTATTTATATAAATAACATTCTTTTATAACTTTTAATAGTTATTTAAATATTTTAAATTTCAATACATTTTATTTTAAGTTGCTTAAGTTTTTTTTTAATTGTGTGTGGCTAATTTTTATATACGTTTGTTCTTAGAGACTAGTGGATTAGGCAATTTTAAATTAAAATTTCACCAACTTACAAAAGTTAGGTACCTATTTCAATTCAACAAATAATATGAACAACCAGTGTAATTGTTATGCATACAATTAATAGATTTACCGTATTTTTTATTATAAGGTATTTACTTTTGTAGTTATGTTTTTTTATTTCATATAATTGTATTTAATAAGAATCTGTTACATAATCATATTGTAATAACCTATAGGCCCTAACATTAAATTAAAATTGGATTTGTAGTGGTAATCTGTATTATGCATTTGATTGCGGTGAAACCCCAAGTATTATACGTAGTTTGGAGGCCGTGTTTTACATTTTAAACCATATGTATTCGTAATAATTTTTTTTTTTCTTATAAGAAAATGCATCTAGTTTATATTTAGCCGAGTAGTTAAGTAATTACACTATTATTTATCAACAATTCATATGCTTTTTGAAGAAAATAGCTGTATAATGTAGATTTTGTTAAAATTATTATTGTTATAACTTTTTAATTAGGGTAGTTAAGATACAACTTTTTACCCAATGACCTTTTCTATTGGCCATATGTTTTGTTAACCGATGTCCCATCTCGTACCGTTATCGAGCTACAGTCGTTTCAATGCATAGCGCGTTCCGCCATCTTTGCCCCCCTCCCCGCAAGTTCTCGACCACCTGAAAAGTAGGCGACATGCGTATTTTTATCACCACAGTCCATATTACAACTATCAGCAAAGATATTTGATATTACTTTTTTCCGACACTCAGAAATTAATTCTACTTTCGGTAAAAAAAACTACACGAAAAGTCCATTTTTACATATTTTATACAATAACTTGTTTATTTAATAGAGATACGACCTTGGACTCAATAACCATTATTGTAGTCCACATTTTTAGAATTACAACGACGTTTTAACCGATGTTCTATCTTTTACCGTTTTCGAAATATAAGCATTTTAACGCATAGCGCAACCCGCCATGTTTGCCCCCTCTCACCCACCTTATCGACCACTTTTGAAATAGGCGACATACGTAATTTTGATCACCACAGTCCATATTACAATAATCAGCAATAATATTGCGTACTACTTTCATGCATGCTCAAACCCCGTCAGCTCCTGGACTAAAGCCCGCGGGTTACAGCTAGTAAAAGATAAAAATATAAACACCTACGTAAAATATGGTTAGTGGTTAACAACTTTCCATCTTTTATACTGTCTTGTTAGTTAACAGTATATAAGCTTATTTTGTGCCTGTCAGCTGTTGACTGTCGAGTTACAGGGTGTCGAGTTAAATGAAGTTCTACTGTGTTTTCATTTCAAATATTTTTACCAAGCTATCCTGTTTTTTCTAGGCACTTTACAAAAACATTGTAAAAGTGAAACTTCAAAACTACTCTGGACGTCATCTGCCACTATGGAAATATTTTTTATCCGTCAATAATCATCATAAAACTAAATCCACCCGACTTCATGAATGATAACTTGTTAACAAATAATGATGGAAGTGCATTTACAGATAAAGAAAGATACAGTTTTCGGAACTTTTACTTTGAAACGGGTCGTTGGCAGATAAAGAACTCTGTTTATCCTTACCCTAGTGTGAGTGATATCACAGGCATTGTGGAAATCAGCAACATTTCTGATGATATTTGGTTTAGTACCAAGAGCGATATGAAAGACATTAATAAACATAATAAAACAGAGAAACTTTGCTCCTCTCAAGAAAAAAATGGACCATCCTCCCCCAAAAAAGGAGCCAACTCCCCAAAGAAACAAGCCATCCAGGAAGAAGTAATTTTGGTTTATCGCTACATAAAACAAAAACTAAGTTCAAGTTCAAGAATTCTTCTCCTGAATTTAACCCAAGCCAAGATATATTTAATTATAAAAGTGTCAATGTTGAAAATCAGTTTTCTCCAATGGTAAAGAACAGTTCTAACGCTGCAAGTAGTCCAGAAACTATTTCCAAAACTAATAAAACAACCACAAAAAAAAGAAAAAAGAAAAAACACAAAAAAAGACTTGAAAGTTCAAAATACACAAAAGTAAATCAAAGTGAACGGCTGAAATCTCCACAGGAAATCCAAAAGCTGAAAGATATTGTTGCTATGAATTTATCTACGCTAGAAGAATTTGGTACCAGTGATAGTGAAGAAACAGTAACAGTTGCTAACAGTACAAACAATAATTTAACCATTAGCACTTTGAATAGGCCTAGTCAAGAATTGATTTCCAGATCTAGTGTATCCAAACATTCAATAAATTTAGAAAACGATTCTACTAAACAAGTGTTACCCGAGTCAATAAAAGGAATACCTGTTACTTCAGATTCACAAGAAAAAGATCAGGTATGTTGCAAGTTACAGATATCTAGGTTATTCAGCCGAACCTCTATATGACAAATTTCAAGGGGCAGGGGAAAATTCATATTATCTATCTATATATTAATAGGCAAGCATGTTTCTTTAAAACCTTTTTTCTCAGCTCGTGTGCATCGTAGGGAAAATCTACGCATACCGTTAGAAAGCTATTTTCCTGTAGGTGTGCAGAATCCCTTTATAAATTAAAATAGGCTCAAAGATAAGCACAAAAAATGAGTTTAAAAATTTGAAAAAATTAACATGGATCATATGGGTTGCCATGCTGGTGACGAAATAACAACGAAATATAAACAGAAAATCAAAACAAATGGAAGAAACTCCAATCACATGTTTTATTTACAGTGTGGGGTGAAAATAGAGAAATCTGTACATTACATATTTTTGGTCGAGTTTCGACCACTGGACGACCTCTAGTCTTAATTAAAGGGGGTATTCTTAATTAAAAGGCTCATTTTACCGAGGTTATATACTGCCGGTATTCGTCTTATAGAAGTTTCTCCTTCTCCTCTGACTGAGGAGCGAAGAGGGATGGATGGGGGTTTCACGTTGAGACAAGCTTCAGTTTGTTTTGAAAACTAAGTACTATGGAGGTTAAGATCATGAGAAATTCTTCTTATAGAGGTCGCATTCGTCTTGTAGAGGTATTGTGGCAAGAATATTTGTTATAACGTAGGTTAATCAGTCCTAGCCCATGTCACAAACTAATTCGTCTTTTGTAGGTTTTTAACCTACCTAGGCCTAATTATTACTTTGTATAGAGGTGTTTTTAGTATTGACCTTTATGAACTTTTCCAGGGGATTAAAAAAAAATTGTCTTATTGAGAAATTCCTTTTACCGAGGTTTGTACTAACTAGGTTTGACTGTATTATTGACCATTGACATTTAGATACATAGTCTAACTATCTGAAGAAGCAAGCTGATGTTTTGGTAAAGCGCAGGACTTGGTCCTGGGGTCAGGGGTTCAAATCTACCAATCACCAATAGCAATAGATCGTGCGTTGTGATAATGTCTTGTTGATCCTCCAAGCCTAATGAACAGTTCTAGACTAGAGCATATTGTCCCTAGGGTATGAAGGTAGGACCCACTATAAAACACAAATTGTTTCACAAACATTCTTTTTAAGAAAATGTTGTTAGGTGAAATATTCGAAAAGGAGAATAGGCCTACATTCACAGGTAACACTGACTGAGATGTTGTGAAGATTGATTTTGGTACTATGGTAGCCTATGTCATGTATTTACCAGCAATTTAAAGGATGATATAGGCTATCGGTAAAATACCATGACGTTTAGAAATAGGCTATCGGTATTTAAAAATAAGTTGTTTTTCCAATTTGGCTTTGTTAAAAAGCTTTTGGGTTTTTAGAATAAACTGTTATTCAACATCAGCACACTCTGTCGTTGGCTCAATTCACCCATGTTGTTTTCTATTCTGAAACTAGTTACAGCTTTGGGACATCTACTTGCATCAATAGTCAAGAGGTTTTACTTTTCTATTTATTAATACAACAACACCAAGAAACAACATTTCCAACTTATTGTCAGTCTTATAATCTTTGTGTCTACACACTTAGGCTTGATAAAGATGAATGTCAATTGGAAGACGTAATGTATTCTTGATGTTCTGCTAGATTCTGATCTCTTCTCTGTGTTGTTGGCCATAAAATTTAGCTAACAGTCCAGTTTTCTTTTTCAATTTAATTTTGTGTGCTCAATATTCTTGTCCGTTCCCCGTATTCAATGGCTTTTGTCCCAAAACGGTTGAGATATTTTCAGCATCCAAAAGTCAATGTGTAACACAGTAGCTCAGTGGAAGGTATCAGCCTGATAGACAAAACATTGTTTGTTTAGGACTGGTCGCTTAAACTGTCTTAACATTTCAATCTCCACAAGCTTGCTCATGAAACTTGTATGTAGATTTATTTCACTGTCTTCAGAAAACTGGATAGTTAAAGGCAATGAGCATTGATACATATTAAAAAAACAATAATGTAGGCCTAATAATTAAATTTGAGCACATTAAAAAGTCTTGATGTCTTGACTTCAAGCTCTGTCACAGTCAGTATACTTAATACTTAGACCACTTAGATTCAAAGAACTCAGCAGATATATGTGAGTTTAGAGAAGCCAATACTGCTATTATTCACTAAAATTAGTTTTTTTCAAGCAAACTTAATTAATTCTTGTTTCAATTTATTAAACACTAGCTGTAACCCGCGAGCTTTGCCCCGTTTAACTTCTTAATTTTCAAGATAATCTCGTTCGCATGGCTCAATCACGTCCTGGTTGAAGTTAAGTATAACTAGCTGGCCCGACAGACGTCGTCCTGTCCTAATGTGGTTTAATGTCAAATTCTCGTTCATTTTCAAGATGAGCTCGTTCGCATGGCTCAATCATGTCCTGGTTGAAGTTCGTTCGCTACTGTCACTCACCTTTAGGTTGGAGCTCGTTCGCTGCGCTCACTTGCCTTCAGGTTAGCTCGTTCGCTACGCTAACTCGCCTCCAGGTTGAAGTTCGTTCGCTACGCTCACTCACCTTTTGGTTGCAAATTAGCTGTTGTCATAAATTAAAAAAAATAATAGTGCTGCACCCTGTTGGTAATCCTTGTAACTTTAATGCTATTGAACATCATAGAACAGAACCAACTTGTTTAATTGAAACAGCTGTTAAGATTCATTAATTCCATTTCTCATAAGGTTAACATGGGAAACTCCAGAGCCACTGGGGCAGATCCCAGAGGTCGGAGGGTAAAATCCTGTCTTAGTGAGCGTCTACTACCCAAAAGGAAGATGCCTACCAAGTTTCAGGTTCCTAGGTCTTATGGTTTCTGAGATTTCTTGATGAGTTAGTGAATGAATGAATGAATGAATGAGTCAGTGGTATTTGAGCTTTATATATTTAGATGAATAAATGAATGAATGAGTCAGTTGTATTTGAGCTTTATATATATAGATTTAACCTAACTCTAAACATTTGATGCTGAATGTTGTATTAAACTACTGTTTGCTATTAAAAGCCTAACAATAAAAAATATTTTGTCAGTACTTCATTCTATTTAGAACTTTTGAAAATCTTAAAAAATTTAAAGTTTTGTTTTAAATAGATACATGTTTGTTGCATGAATCACAACTTATAAAGGCTAAAACCATTCAGGTTCCAAGTACTTTTGCTCTATGATTTACAAAGTTATCCTAATACAATGAATAAAATTATCTTTGTTTATTTTCAGACCAAAAAGCAACTTTGTGGTGAAATCAAAGATTTGAGCACCTCGCTAGATAAAGACAGTTTTGATCGCAAATTGAGTCAAGCTCAATGCCAAGAAACACCAGTGAGTAGTGGCAGCACGCTCATGGCGGGGAAATCACTTTGGAGCATCGACAAGACACCTGAAAAAGGCACTTCTAGTCCAAAGAAAAAAAATCAAAAACAAGGTAATGTAAAGAAACGGAAAGCCAGTGATATAGAAGAAAACACATCCACAAAAGAGGACAAAGAAACAATTGAAATTAGCTTTTCCCCAATGAAAAGGAAAAGACACAGCGAAAGCGAATCAGAAAATTGTAAAGGTTTAGTTTTAAATCACGTTTTTAAAAATTTCCACAGAAAAACTATATCAACGGACAAAAACAATGAAGCAAAAATATCCAGCCCAAGAAAAAGAAAGAAATCTAATAAAGAGAAAGAGTTGTCGTATAAGAACATCGAAGTAAAGATCAGTTGTGATGCAAATGATTCAGAAGGTAAAAACCAATGTGAAAAATCAAACATTGAAAAAGATAGAAACAAGAATATACCAGAGAAAAGTGTTGATGATAATAGTGATATAGAGTGTTCAAATACAGGCACTCCAGAGCTTAACTGTCATACTTTATTTGTTTGTAGACCTACCAAAAAAAGTACAAATGTTGAACTAGGTTCAGATTCAGAAGACAACACTAAAGATTCTAAAAGGGACAGATATTCATCAGACAGAAGCCATAGTTCTTTTTGTGATGAAATTGATGAAGTTTTCAAAAATTACAAACCTAGTCCAGAGAAAACTGTTACCCCCACAAAAAAGTTAAGTTTGAGTGACAACAAGTCGAAGACAGTGACTGAATCTGAAAAGAATACATTTGATACAAGGAAACCTATGGCAACAGATGCAAATAATTTGGATCATTCCTCTGTTTTAACTTCTGGGTCAAATTGTTCTGATTCACAAGAACAAGCTGGCATCATTTCATCTCAAATAATCCAAAAAATTCCTCATAAAAGAGTTGCTGATAATAGTGATATAGAACATTCATCTTCATTAGGCACTCCAGAGTCTAGTGATCATACTTGTGTTCGTAGCCCTATCAAAAACGGTTCAAATGATAAAACAGTTGAACTAGATACATATACAGAAGACAACACTAAAGATTCTAAAAGGGACAGGTATTCATCAGACAGAAGCCGCAGTTCTATTTGTGAAGAAATTGGTGATGTTTTTGAAAATTACAAACCTAGTCCAAAGAAAACTGTTACCCCCACTAAAAGGTTAAGTTTGAGTGTTAACAAGTTGAAGAAAGTGACTGATTCTGAAAATAATACCTTTGATATAAGGAAACCTATGGCACCAAATACAAATGATTTGAATAATTCCTCTGTATTAACTTCTGGGGCAAATTGTTCTGATTCACAAGAGCAAGCTAGCATTATTCCATCTCAAAATATCCAAAGAATTCCTAAGAAAGGAGTTGCTGATAATAGTGATACAGAACTTTCATCTTCATTATGCTCTCCAGAACCTAGCGATCATACTTGTGTTTGTAGCCCTATCAAAAACGGTTCAAGTGGTAAAACAGTTGAACTAGATACATATACAGAAGACAACATTAAAGATTCTGAAAGGGACAGATATTCATCTGAGTCACCAAACTCGACCAAAGATGTTGAAACACCTACAAAGATTTCATCACCAACAGTTGTTCCATCTACCTCGACCAACAAGGATAACAATGGTTCTACATCTAGAAAACAGGAGAGTTTCAGCACTCTTCAGAAAAGCATTGAAATAATTGATGATAGTCGCTTTGATTCAGATTTGAGCTCAGACTTTTTTCTCACACCTAAAAAAAACCCCAAGAAGAACAAAATTCCACCACATTTAAGAGAAAAAAATAATTCTGAGACCTCATTTACTAGCTCCAAAGACGTTTCTACAAAAGAGAAAAAAAGTGTTTTTGTAAAAGTATTAAAAAGAAAAGGGGGGAAAACAAACCAACAGAAAAAGTTGGTTTCAGAAGAGCTGGGAAATCTAGACAGTTCTTATGTTGAAGATAGCTTTAGTGATTGTACAAACTCTTCAATTTTAGATCAAATCCAGGCTTCGATGATCTCTTCAAGTAATGAACTAGAGGTAATTAATTATAATAATTAATCATAACACAGTAAACTTTTAGTAAGACCAAGACCAAGTGATTCCAACTGTTCAAGTTATTGTAAATTTAAAAAAAATCTTTATTTGCCTACAACTTACCTTTTGTTTGTTCGATTTTAGGCATAGTTAAGAAATAAGAACTATAAGGAAATTTTACTTTTATAAAGTTTTTAAAAATAAAAGCCATAATAATTTAATTTTTATGTTATATAGGCCTACAGTAGAGCTCCTTTCATCCAAACCCAGCTATTTAAAAAAATCTGCCTATTCCGAACTAAAATGTAGAAATCATCTATTTTTCTATGTTAGTACAAAGGGAACTATGTTACCTCAGACGATATTGAAGCTAACGATGTTGTTGCAAATTTCAGAAAAGCTTGAATGCTGCTGCAAACAATGAACAAGAAGCAGCATGATGTGCTGTGTGATAATGATAGTAATAACGCCAAAAATGTTGGAACGATTTTGTAAACGTCAGGTTGTCAGCTATCGATGTTGCTGTAAATGTGAAGGGGATCGCGATAATTTTGCCATCGATACTTTAATATTATTTTATTAAAGATGGGCCAGTTATTTTTGAATCACTGGAGTCTACTGCGTCTTGGTGATGAATGCCTTTTTTACTGTGAGAACAATTTAAAACGTGTTGTTGAGTTTCTGCTTATATTTCAAAACCTCTAAATCACATTTTTAATTTAGTATATTTCTCTTACTCTTGAGAGGCCTTTAAGAAACCATAAACAATCATTGTTTCATCGTATATTACGGTTCACATACTTGCTTTAATACTTTTATCCAAAAAATTATTGGCAGCATATGTAATTGCTCAAATATTTTGAATCATATTGAAGCTCTCATGTACAAGATGTAGCCTATACCTTTGGTGGGTAACATCAAAACTTACCCTCAGAGCTATATCTCTTTAGCGTTTGGATTCCTCATTTAAATATCCCAGTATTGAAGTTTCTTTATTTTGTACGGCTCATGTTAGTTTGAATTGTCAAATATTTTTAACTGTTCTGCTGATCCAATAATTCTACTACAGTTACTTTGTATGCTTGACAGTTTGACTTGTTTAACTCAGGTAATAATGAAAACCAGGGTATATTGTATAAATTTTGACGTGATTCTAACTATTTCCAGAGACTAAAGGATTTGAATATAACAATCGACTGGGAGCTTTCGCCATTACATAGAATTGACACGGGATCGTGTAAAGTCAGTATGGCTAAATTAAGAGATGAACTTGGCCCTGGACACGAAAAACACCTGACTGACAAGAAATTCTCTGAAATGGATGAGGATAAGATCAAACAAGCTTGGGAAGAATTTTCTGAAGTAAGTGTTATGTTTTAAGATTGTAATGATCTTAAATGGCTTTTAGTCATTACTTGATAAGCATTCTATATATGTAGGAGTTAAAGAAGCTCATATATAATAACTATTTGAGTTTCTATACTTTGTTAGCTCTAGGGTGGAAGTTAAGGATAAGCATTTTTTTCTTTGTTTTGACACCAGTGGCATTTTTAGAGGAGTGACAATGTGTGTACTGAAATATGCTTTTAGAGAAATCGGTCCAATCCAAACCCATGTGTGTGCCATGAATCGAACCTGTCAATCATCGATTTTCACTGGTAACACAGGTATCAACCATCGTTGTGCCGATAACACCATCATAAAAACATCGATCCCTTCATGGCAAAAACATCAATAATTGATGGGTTTTTTTATTAGCGAATATCCCTATAGGGAAGTAGCTATTACCGTAGGTGGCATGGTAAGACCTAGGCCCTGGACCGATTTACTTTTTCATTTTGAGGTCCCCAGAGGCCAAAAACACCATTTGCTCAAATATTTATATATGTAGGCCTATATATATATACAGTGGAACCTTGATAAGAAGACCCTCGATAACAAGTCACCCTTGATAACAAGTGTCATTTTCAAATCCCCTTAAAAATTTTTTACCCCTAATCAAATGTTATTACAAACCTCGATAAGAAGTCAACCTTTATAACAAGTTTTATTTTACAATCCCCATGAGAGTCTTGTTATCAAGCTTCTATTGTGTATATATATGTGTCCGTCCGTGAACGCGATAACTTGAGTGATTTTTGTCCGATTTTGATGAAATTTAATTTAAAGGTGTAAAGCGGGATAAAGGTACGTTGTCACTGGTGCGGCTGGAACTGCAGTCGTTGGATGACAGCCGTTGAACAATAATCGTAGAGAGCCTGCTTAGCATTGTTTTCAATGGCACCGTTGTCACTGACCCGACTGTAGCCGCAGTCGTATCGTAGTCGTGGACGTCTATCGTACGGGTCTGCTCCTGGAGCAGTCAGAGTCGCAGTTGTTGGACGGTATTTGAGGCTTTCACAGCTTTTTTTCGAGTAAGAGCGTCGAGTGTACTCAGCTCCAATGTTGTTCTTATGTAGAATAATTAAAATGTTGTAATAGCTTAAATTGTTAATGCATTTAATGATACTTGGTTAGCGGCTTTACGTGGTAGTATTAAGACACACATAAATGCATTGGAAAGTCCACGAGTACACAGGTGTGCTGCAACTGGGGTATTTTTTTTATACTGAACATGTTTTATTCTGAAAAAGGAAAAAATAATACCGAAGTATTCTATTAGTTTATTAGCTTAGTAAAAAAATCTAACGATTATAAATAAACTATTCTACCTTAACGTAGGAGCAAACTTTTCATATCCTATGATTGGATAGGGAATGTACAGTAGTTTTATGATGTCTTCTAAAAATCCTCATTGGTCAAACTATACAATAACTTAAACTGACATTTTGAAAGTCTGAAGAACTCAGATGACATTCTCTCATCAGCTTGCAAATGATGGTTTATTAATATTTTGAAGTACCCCTCTTCTGTTCGTTTTGTAATTATACTATGTGTGAATGTGTGCTAAGTCTTGGAACACTTATCATTTCCAAAATTTTTCCATCTTCTAGATCTTCAACTAACAAATAAATTAATAGTATTTCGTTAAAGCCTATAAGCTAATAATTCACTATCCCTACTTCAACTCGGCAACAGTCAAGAATTAACTGAACGATTGTATAATAATCGCACCAGTGACAATGCCTACTGCAACGATGCGACGACGATCGTCCAACGACTGCAGTTCCAGCCACACCAGTGACAACGTACCTTTATCTTGAATGAGTTCGCGAACTAGCATGATCGGACCATGGGAACGGGGCTTTACTCTGATTTGTACATAAGTACGGCCTCTGTAACTTTTATGGTTAAAAATTGGGTTTTCTCACTTTTGACTCTCAAAACACAAAATTTCCCAATTTCTCTTTAAAGAGCTTAAAAAAACAAATAATTTAATATGGAAAAGTATTTTTGTACTGTTATTGGAATCAGAGAAAATTTAAAAAATTGTAAATTTAAAATTCCCATGTTATTCTTATGGAGAAAAAAGGTTGTAGTTTGTTTGTTTATGGATATATTTTTATCAAGCTTGGCAATTTTATTTATTTTATACTAAGCTATTAATATTTTACTAAAAAAAACACACTTTATTAGATTCCTTGTAGCAGCAAACCTAGGTACTCGTTAAACATAATGTTATTTAAATATATTTTTTATTGAAAATAAATTTAGACAAATGGAAATTCGCTTAGCTGGCAGGTTTGCTGCGACGGGGGTATTATTTTGAGTTTTTTTTCTGCCTCAGCTCATTCACATTTGCCAGATGAAATATCAATCTTAATTGGTTATGCTGGAACAAGAGTGATGGAGCTATTACACATTTTGGCAGCATTTACAAGTACATCAACAATATAGATAGTTCTCTTAGGCTAGTCTCACTCTGTTCTTTTCCAAGTGTAGTCTAGTTTGTGATATTTTTGGGTTCGATATTTCATCAGCCTTCAATGGTATAAATAATTTAATAAAATCCAATTTCTTGTTTACCAACATTTAAATTTTCAGTAAGACTGACATAGGCTAACTCAGTTACAAAACACATTGACATTTCAGTAGTTGGCCAAAAACATTGGTAACCTACTACTAATGTAAAAACATCAAACAACAATAGGAAAACATCAGCTATCGATGCTTAATCCTTGTGGAAGTTAACAGGAATTCTTTGGGAATTGAATCTATGATCAAAAATGGTGTTTTTTACTTACTACTTTGTGCATTTTTTTTTTTTTTTTTTAAACATTGACAATCTAAAAATTGTCTTTACCTTTTCCTCTAAAAATTGTCTTTACCTTTTCCTAAAAATGTGTGAATAGATCTTCCGTAGCAAGGTTAAGATGGACGGCGTGGGTATGGAGGATGTAAGTTTTCCAGGTGCAATGTATTTCCACATCGACCATTCTATTTTACTAAACCTAAACATTTGTTTACAGACGTATGACTTCAGCAACCCAGAACTATTTTTCCCAACTGCTCAAAACTTTGGAGTCTTCCCGTATCGAGAGAGACGCAAGTTTAAGTTATTCATAGCTAAATATCTACCTGACAGACATTTGCTGAGCGTGTTTTCTAAATTCACCAGAATCTACTCAGTCAAAAAGACCGGAAGGTAAGGCAGACTGCTTCTAAATACCCCCGCCATTTAGTTAAACGAGGCATAGGTTTGCTGCTATAGGGAAGGTTATGAAGCATTTTTTTTTTTTATGAACTGTTGATCATTTAGTATTAAATTAATACATTTTTCTAAATTGGATCAAATATGTTCATAAACAAGCAAACTACAACAGTTTACTTATCCCACATAAGAGTAACATGGGAATTTTAAACTTAAGTAGGCCTAGCCTATTTTTGGAATTTTCTTCCTAACTAATTAGGCGCATAATAACGCTTCATTATACTAAATTACGTTTAAATTATGTTTTTAAGCTCTATAAAATGTTTTAGACAGAAATTGAAGGAGAAGATCCCCTTATGAGACATTGCATTCCAGCATCTGCTCTACCAAAACACATTCACAGATAAACATATGAAATAGAGAATCTCCATTAGTTTCCTTTATAAACAGTAAAGCGTTTAATTTTTTTTTGTGTTAGCAGGTTAATATTTTATTGATTGTTTAGGCTACCATAAGATCAGTGGCAAATAAAATAGGGCGTAAAAAGGCTGCCATAGTAAACTATTTCTTTTTAGGTGATTCCTAATTGAAGAACTTGACTCCTACCTTTACACATATTTTCTTGTAACATTCAGCTTGCTATGATACTTGGAATTAGCATATTTTGCTGATAGTGACTGTGTTTGTATCATGTTGGATTTCATTTGTGTTAATTTTGTTTATAGATGGTCTGACAAAGAAGATAGACTCTTACTTGACATATACCACGCTTGTATGGAGAAGAGCAACTCATTAGATTCGCCCAATGAATCCAAAAGAGAAACACCTCTCGGCTTACCCATGAAGAAAATCATGATGAAGGCTCTGAACAGAACTTTATCTTCTGTTGATGCAAGGTTAAAAATTTTGTTAGAAGATAAACATGCAAGGAATTTGTCTCAGAGTAAGTTTTATGTTTTGATTCAATTTTGTGAAGTAGATTTTTACACATATTTTAATACAAAGATCTCGATAATTTGGACTTAGATAATCCAGCTAAATCCCTTCTCTTTATTTTTTTTTTTAAATCATGGCCTAAGAAGAAATGTAATTTTGTAATTTTAATTTGATATAAAAGTGTAGTATACACTGCACTACTACAGTGGCAACACGTCGGAGACAAATCATGGAACCCACACTTGCCACTTACACAAAAAACTTATTAAAAAATTTCATTGCTCCTAAATTGTATTGTAACATTCATTTTTATTTTATCACAACATTTTGAAGTCATTGCTCTTCACTTGAGCGGATGACAAGTGTTTGCTATTGAATTTTTATAGTTATTTCACGATTAAAGCTTCTGTTGCTGTTAACTTTCTGCTGGAACTTTGGCTGTTACAAAGTCACTAATTTAAATGGTCTCTTGATGGTCAGGCCCGTTCCTAAATCCGTCCTACTGGCTGCCGTTTTAAGCTAAATTGTCTAAATCTAAATTTATTATCTATGGTGAGTCGGTGGCTCAGTTGGTAGGCTGTGGTATTCAGGCCCAAGGCAGTGATGTCGTTCGTTCGGATCCTGGTACCTGCCACCAATTTGTATCAGTACAGTTCACCCTTGTACTGTACCGGATCACCCCTTGTTTTGCTGGATACATTCCACACACAGGCCTCTGTGTACAGTCATATGTAAGATTAAAGAGACTGCCAACATCTTATAAAAATATAATGTAACACTACCATATCATTTAAATAATTGCAGGAGACATTGAATGGACACCAGAACTGGAAGGTGCGATGATTCACCAACTGGTCAAGAAATCAAGAGTAGATTCAATAGAAGACCTCCGTTATGAAACCATAAGTTATAAAGTCTGGAGGAAAGTTTCTTCAAAACTGAATTTACCGATGGAAAAAATGATAGATCGATGGAAGTACTATTTGTATCCTCAGATCTTTGCTCGTAAGCCAGTCCTGCGTCATATGCTACAAATTGAGCTGATCAAGTGGTCAGTATTATTTATTTCTACAACATAATGTTGTATGTTGACTGTCTCGTGTTTATATAGGCCTAAGATTATGCTCTTATGTCGCTGTTGAGGGGTTAATTATTTATACACATATTTTGAGATTAAATACCCCATGGTTAGTTGCAATAATCTTTCAACTGCAATTTTTACAGCACTGGGTGTTGTACCATTTGTTTATAATTAAAAAGGCCTTAACATACAAAATTTTTATCAAAACAGTTTGAGAAATGTTTGTAAAAATCCAGTTTTTCTGTTGTTGTGGGAGAATCCCCATTCAAATTTGAAATTTCCAAAAAAAATCTAAGGTACCATAGACTTTACTTCAAAAACGCTGGGTCCAGGGAGACCCAAAACAGATAATTCTACAAAAAACAAAAACAAAAAAAAAACTAAAACTAAATATTTTGACAACAACATTCCTTCCATATACTATGTATGTACAGTAGACTCCCTCTTATCCGGACACCTTTTAACCGGACTACACTCGGCAGAAATGACATCTCTTTAACCGGACAATTTTTATCAGCACATTGGTTTAACCGGACTAAATCGGCAGGTTTTGGGCAGTACTGAATTCTGTTCTCGTGGGAAAGATTTGAGACCAGTCATCATGTGTCTTAATACAATGCTTTCCTAAATTTAAGTCAAATATCACAGTAAACAGTCCGTTTTAACGAGTTTTTGGGGACGTCGGTTTAACCGGAAAACCCGTTATCTGGACTGGCCTCGGTCCCGAGGAGTCCGGATATGAGGGAGTCTACTGTATAGGGGGAGAAAGTAAAAACTCAACAAGAAGTGAGAGGTGAGTTAAAAAGATTAACCCTCCAAGTGTCCATAGTTTAGGCCTTAATGTCCACCTATTTTTGGCGCATTTGCAAGGTTTTATTAAAACGGATCTGAGAAGCTTAAAACAATGTTAATTCTAATGTTCTATATACCATTTTGTTTGGAAAATCATGGGCTTCAATATTATATATAAAACATAAGGAACATTTAAAAAAAAAAAAAAATTTTAGGTAAAAAAAATATAATTTCAAAAATTTGCAAAAAAAAATAAGTTCGCGCTCAATGAAATTGTATAAATTATAGGCCTATAAATATTTGAAAATAGCCACTTTGTTCTAAATTTTATGAGGATTACAAATATATAATAATATAAGGAAGTATATTTGCAAATAAATAAGTTATGGGCAAAAAACTGATTTCAGTACATAGCGTTTAGCTAAGAATGCATAGCCTAACCATAGCTAGGAATCTGGCTGATAATTTACATCAATATCACTACCTACTTCTTCAGGATCATCAACTAGCACTTCAAAACCACTTAAATCTTCTTATAATGCACCACGTATATCACTACTTTTGATTTTTAACACTAAAACAATGATAAACGTAATAAAACACATCAGTCATCGGTCCGGGGGAACCTAGCTGTTTACAAATACACGCACGTCAGCTGTCTGCTACAATATTTTCGGAACTAAAATGAATAGCGCTTAGAGACAGACCTCTGGAGAAAGCTTAGAACATTACGGAAAGAACGATACCTAACTCGATCCAGTTTAATCCGATTCAGTCAGTCATAGAGCCTTCGCCGTAAACGATGTCTGCGTGTCGAAAAATCGACAAGTAACACTACACAAAGTGTGCTGCTTGTCGAATTTTCGTCAAGTAACACTGGGAGGGTTAAGTTAGGACGTAGTTTCGATTTATTCCACCCTGAACCGGACTTGTGACTGGACTAACCGTCAGAAGTAAATGCAAATATTAATAGATCCATTTTAAAGCCATTGTGGAGTGTTTGTGAATATTAATGAAATATTAAGAGAGAAAAAAAATAGTAAACCATGTTTACAAGAAGAACAGAAAGGAATCTTTATTTTTACAATATTATGAATTTCAGATTTACAATGATCAGCTGTTGTTTTTAATATTAAATGTGAAGGCTAGGCTAGTAGGAAAAATTATCTAAAAGAACTGAACACACACCAGTGATGTTTGAACTAGAAATGTTAGGTAGATCTAGCAGTCGATTTCAATGTAAAAGTTGTAGACATTGTGGTATCTTTCTCTCAAAATTGTATGCCACTGCATAATTGGGTCCAGTAACTCGATCCAGTTCAGTCCAATAACTCAATCCAGTTCAGTCCACTGATTCGATCCAGTTCAGTCCACTAACTCAATCCAGTTCAGTCCACTGATTCTATCCAGTTCAGTCCACTAACTCAATCCAGTTCAGTCCACTGACTCAATCCAGTTCACTCCAACTTCTCGATCCAGTTCAGTCCACTAACTCAATCCAGTTCACTCCAATAACTCAAACCAATTCATTCCACTTACTCAACCCAGTTCACTCCACTAACTCGATCCAGTTCAGTCCAATAACTCAATCCAGATCAGTTCACCTACTCGATCCAGTTCAGTCCACTAACTCGATCCAGTTCAGTCCAATAAATCAATCCAGTTCAGTTCACCTACTCGATCCAGTTCAGTCCACTAACTTGATCCAGTTCAGTCCAATAAATCAATCCAGTTCAGTTCACCTACTCGATCCAGTTCAGTCCACGAACTCGATCCAGTTCAGTCAACTAACTCAATCCAGTTCAGTATAGTAACTGAATCCAGTTCAGTCCACTAACTCGATCCAGTTCAGTCCAAACTCTATGCAGTTAAGTCCACTTCCTCGATCCAGTTCAGTCACCTACTCGATCCAGTTCAGTACAATAACTCAATCCAGTTCAGTACAGTAACTGAATCCAGTTCAGTCCACTAACTCGATCCAGTTCAGTCCACTAACTCCACCCAGTTCAGTCCACTAACTCTATCCAGTTCAGTCCACTAGCTCGATCCAGGTCAGTCCACTAACTCAATCCAGGTCAGTCCACTAACTCAATCCAGTTCAGTCCACTGACTCAATCCAGTTCACTCCAACTTCTCGATCCAGTTCAGTCCACTAAGTCAATCCAGTTAACTCCACTAACTCAAACCAATTCATTCCACTTACTCAACCCAGTTCACTCCACCTACTCGATCCAGTTCAGTCCACTTACTCGATCCAGTTAAGTCCAATAACTCAATCCAGTTCAGTTCACCTACTCGATCCAGCTCAGTCCACAAACTCGATCCAGTTCAGTCCAATAACTCAATCCAGTTCAGTCCACTAATTCGATCCAGTTCAGTCCACTAACTCAATCCAGTTCAGTCCACTGACTCAATCCAGTTCACTCCAACTTCTCGATCCAGTTCAGTCCACTAACTCAATCCAGTTCACTCCACTAACTCAAACCAATTCATTCCACTTACTCAACCCAGTTCACTCCACTTACTCAACCCAGTTCACTCCACTTACTCGATCCAGTTCAGTCCAATAACTCAATCCAGTTCAGTCCACTTTTCGATCCGGTTCAGTCACCTACTCGATCCAGTTCAGTCCAATAACTCAATCCAGTTCAGTCCACTGACTCAATCCAGTTTACTCCAACTTCTCGATCCAGTTCAGTCCACTAACTCAATCCAGTTCACTCCAACTTCTCAATCCAGTTAACTCCACTAACTCAATCCAGTTCAGTCCACTTCCTCGATCCGGTTCAGTCACCTACTCGATCCAGTTCAGTCCAATAACTCAATCCAGTTCAGTCCACTAATTCGATCCAGTTCAGTCCACTAACTCGATCCAGTGCAGTCCACTAACTCGATCCAGTTCAGTCCACTAACTCGATCCAGTTCAGTCCACTAACTCGATCCAGTTCAGTCCACTAACTCGATCCAGTTCAGTCCACTAACTCGATCCAGTTCAGTCCACTAACTCGATCCAGTTCAGTCAACTAGCTCGATCCAGTTCAGTCCACTAACTCGATCCAGTTCAGTCCACTGACTTAATCCAGATCAGTCAACTGACTCAATCCAGGTCAGTTCACTAACTCAATCCAGTTCAGTCCACTGACTCAATCCAGTTCACTCCAACATCTCGATCCAGTTCAGTCCACTAACTCAATCCAGTTCACTCCACTAACTCAAACCAATTCATTCCACTTACTCAACCCAGTTCACTCCACCTACTCGATCCAGTTCAGTCCACTTACTCGATCCAGTTCAGTCTAATAACTCAATCCAGTTCAGTCCACTAACTTGATCCAGTTCAGTCCAATAAATCAATCCAGTTCAGTTCACATACTCGATCCGGTTCAGTCCACAAACTCAATGCAGTTCAGTCTACTAACTCAATCCAGTTCAGTCCACTAACTCGATCCAGTTCAGTCTACTAACTCAATCCAGTTCAGTCCACTAACTCGATCCAATTCAGTCCACTAACTCGATCCAGTTCAGTCCACTAACTCAAACCAATTCATTCAACTTACTCAACCCAGTTCACTCCACCTACTCGATCCAGTTCAGTCCACTTACTCGATCCAGTTCAGTCTAATAACTCAATCCAGTTCAGTTCACCTACTCGATCCAGTTCAGTCCACTAACTTGATCCAGTTCAGTCCAATAAATCAATCCAGTTCAGTTCACATACTCGATCCGGTTCAGTCCACAAACTCAATGCAGTTCAGTCCAATAAATCAATCCAGTTCAGTTCACCTACTAAATCCGGTTCAGTCCACTAACTCGATCCAGTTCAGTCTACTAACTCAATCCAGTTCAGTCCACTAACTCGATCCAGTTCAGTCCACTAACTCGATCCAGTTCAGTCCACTAACTCAATCCGGTTCAGTCCACTAACTCCATCCAGTTCAGTCCACTGACTCAATTCAGTTCACTCCACTTACTCGATCCAGTTCAGTCACCTACTCGATCTAGTTCAGCCCACTAACTCAATCCAGTTCACTCCATTAACTTAATCTAGTTCAGTCCCCTAACTATAGTTCGGCCGCTCAGAAAGCGACCTCCTCCAGCATTGGTTTAGCATTAGCGCGCAGGTCGTTTTCTAAGCTGCCGAACTTTAGTTAACTCCACCTACTCGATCCAGTGCAGTC